TCCTTCGCCTCTTCATCAGCCCTTAAAAATATGTTGTTAAGGGTAAGAGATCTGTCTATATCTTTACAATGTGGGGCTCTTGGCTCTGTGGTCTCAGAGCTTCGATAAAGACCCCGCAAGTAAGGAGCAACTGCATAGTCGGTAGTAAGCACCCTGCCTCTTGGTCTCACTTAAACGCAATTAACTAAAACGAGAGAGGGAGGGGATAAATTATGCAGGGCCTGCAGATATGTATCATTTGCTCGAAAAGCTCACCGTGTTACACATACATATACATGTGTGTGCCTGTGTGTGGAGTGGGCGGGGGGTATGGGATAAAGAGACTACGCTACGCGTTCAAGTGAATGGAATATAAATAATTGAAAGATTATATAAATATACCATATACGGTTTAAGAGCCCTCTTACATTTCGGCGTTTCGCAAATTTAGGTATTTTACGCACCGAGCGGGCGGCGAGCTACGCAACTGATACTTTCTTTCATATCTATTCACTCACTCGCACTATAATACTGTGAGAATGGTGATTAAACGATCTTGATCTTCCATAATACAAAGTTTTCTTAGGATGGACTTCAGTGGATAGAATATTTTTTGGTGTCATTTTAATGTTATCTTATTAATTTATTATTATATAAATATATTATTTATTATTATATACCATTTTGATATATTATTCATTATTTATGAAATTTAGTGTCAAAATAAGTACACATAAATATTTTAATTGTTACGCCGTAATCGAATGTTAATAATCGATTATGTCTACTACCGGTAGAATAGTGGTATAAATAAATAAACGGTTGCAACCTGTTTTAATAAATATAACAACCAAATGTAACTAATATTTTTTTAATCGGTACTTACAGTCAATTACTATATTTTTTATTAGAAAAATATTTGCTGCGACGGCACTTTTTATAAAAAGCTTGTAACTTGGGTAACATATTGAAAATCTAAAATTGGTCGTCTTTGTAAATTTTTAGTACTTATACTGCATAATCTGGGCCAATGCATATTATGGCAAGTATTCAGACATTTTTATTTGCTAAATGAAGCTGGCCTTGGATTTGGTAAAACCAGTCATTACTTTGATTTAATGTTACACTTGAATCACTGAATTTATAACCTTTAACTTTTTTTTGTCGAAAGGCCGTGTCAAAATCTATTCCGAAAGCTGAAATAGGACATTTAACTTCAATAAGACCGTCGCTGTATAAACCATTAGGTGAAGCCCTTACATAACAATGATCTAGGTCAATGAATAGACCACATTTTTCTATAATATTATTTTCTTGTTTGCTCAATTGTGCCAATGCTACAGACTCGTTGTCCCCACCATGTTTAATGGAAGAGACGTGATCTAAATTATAACTATATAAAATAGTTTTAAACCGATCGATCAAAAATTGCGGTCGTAGTTGACGATGCTCTAGCATGCAGGCAATCGACGCACACTACGGTAGTATCGAAACGATGCAGCGCCCGAAATTAACTGACGCATGTCCACCCCATAGATAAATATATATGTAGCAAGCTAGTCCACCCTCGGCAAGCGCTCGCGCGTTATACACTCTTATCTATGGCGCGTTAATGATCGCACATGGCCGGCGCAGTGAAATATATAGTACTTTTATTTAATTAATTAAAATATAATAGTAACGATTTAAAAAGTAAAAATAATAGTATAGTTTAAGCAAATTTTGATGATTATTTTGGTATAAATTTTACGTCTAAATTATGTAGAACTTCGGAAATATAGAGGCTTGTATCGAAGCTATTTTGGTCGTTTTTTGAATTATGTCGATTTTTTTTCCTAGCGTGAAAAGCATATAACGAAAATGTATTCCATTATTATTAAAGTGTAGGATATTTGGGAGATAAAAATATTTTTTTTGATGGTCGATATTCATTAGAATCTACAAATTAGAGCTCCCAAATCATGTCTTCGAGAGTTTTTGCCTAAACATGCATCGGGAGAATGATTATTACTGATTAAATTAAAAAGTTATCTAAAATCCACTCTGAGCTTATTTGAGGAGAGAAAACGAACTATTTTTAAAAAGTAATTGTTATTTCAAGCAACGAATGATAAACATGTACAATTTCAACGAGGAAACCTTGTAATTTCGCGTTTTTTTTAATGTAATACGCCTCTTAAATAGATGGATGTAGGTGGCTCAGGACAGTGCTTTGTGGCATTGCTTGGAGAAGTCCTATGGTCAGCAGTAGACTTGTGATGAGATGTAATTACGATGATGATGAACCTAGAAACAAGTTGTATTAAAAAAATCAAACAATTTTTTGTTGTATTATATAATTAATCTTAATATTTCCCATGTCATAAACCAAACCAATATATCATCTCGCCCCTGGTTGTCTTTAAAATTTCGACTAACTCTCATTGCCGTATGCAGGCGACGTAAGAAATTCCAGCATCCCATTACGTCTCGTGGGTGTCGTTAGAGGATAGTTATGTGAAATGTCAGAAAAAATTTCTTCCAATGGATGGTGGTATAACCATCTCGTTCACACTTTACACCAAACATAGAATACCAAGACAGTAGTATGAATTGCATTGTAAATTTGTAAAAAGTATGAGACATCTAGATTCAATAAAGGAGGTTTTCAATATTTTCCTGACAGTTTAACTTCCCCTCCATGAATGTCAAATATTTCACCTCATTCCAGAGGCGCCGCCCTGTCGGCAGAAAAGTGGGTGGATACCCTAATTGTTAAGCTAGATTTTTAAAGAATTTGGTGGTGAGTGTGTATTGTGTCCCATAGACATGCATTGAAAATCATTATTATTATTATAATTGCAGCCTATCGCAAGTCTATTGCTGAACTATTATCCTCGCTAAGGACGGCTAAAATCGTTATTCCATCAAGACCTACATCTATCCTCAATTGCAGTTTTTTTTTAATAGAATAAGAGTGACAAGGGAGCACACAGTCCACCTGATGGTAAGTGGTTGCTGTGGCCCATAGACATCTACATCTATCCTCGTTTGCGAATTAAAATGCAGATGAGCAGTCAGCCGTAACGACTAAGTAAAATAAAAAGGGTCTCCGGTTGTCTACACTCACCATATGAAACAGCAGCATTAAGCTGCTATTTTACGCTGGTATTCTGTGAGAGCGTGGTCCTTCCCTGGTCGAGCCGACCCATTCGTGCTACAACTATACTCTTAATATAGCTGCAGCATGGCTCTACCACATATAGCTACTGTATCAATACTGTACAAATCGGAACAAAACATAGACATAGTTTGGTTGGCTTCCCTGGACCTACTTTTGCACAAGTGTCAATACAATTCTATCTGAAAGTCGATTATGTGGTTCTTCGCTAATTAATTTTTAACGTCTTTAACTTACTTAATTATAAATAAAGGGCTCAAAATGTATATGCAGTGTATATTCTAAAAAAAACGAAGGTAGTAACTGAATTTTTTTAATTGTACCTATTTATATTTATTTTACATTCCAGATGTTTTTACTTAACAATAAATGCATCATAGTGTATTAAAATGAACAGCCGACATTAAATTATTTTTACAAAAATATATAAAATACAAATTGTTTTTATTTTGTTTCAAATAGTCAAGTGCAACCTAAAGCTATTTTAACAAAAATTTACACAAAACAACTTAATAGCTACCACATGAGAATCACTAAAATAGTATCAAAAATCGATTGAAAGAGAAACCATGAAAAAAAAATCTTATATTTCATCTAATGAAACACAGAGATTGAAAAAGTTCCGAAAATACGATAAGGTAATACCGCTTGTATTTAGCAGTGCTTCTAATAGTACCTAAACCTAAATGAGAATGGTATGGAACAGTAAACGACCACAATATGTAATAACTTGCTTGGTTACAATGAGTGACAGTCATAAAATGATATTATCGTTAAAAAAGACGTCAGGCAGTAATAAATTTCTTTGCCCTATGTTACAATCGTAGTAATAATATTTTTTAAAAAAAACTAAGCTACAACGCCACGAAGTTTTTCCATAAGACTTGGAACTCAAACATTTTCAGTATTTTGGAACCGCTATCTTAAAACCGATACCTTATGGAACCGTACCATTTGGAACCTTTAATAGAAACTAAATGAAGAACATATCGTAATACAAATTATAATTATACTATACAGTTTCAATTCCATCCCAAACATGTGAGAAAAACAGTCTATGGTGAAGACCATGAACATGTTTTTACCAGTTGGTATGCAAATCATATAGTGATTTATGTCTAAAACTATTTTAGTACAGAATATATTCATGAAATAAATTTGCGCTCAACAAATCTATTTCATAGTATACACTAGACTAGATCGGCGATAGAGTGATTAGGACGAGACCAAAATCAAAAGACACCAGTGTGCGTGTAATGTGCATGTGTAAGTGACAAATAGTGCTGCACCATGCATTGCCTGCATCAACTTCAATTATTGATACCAATTGCAGTATATTCGTGTCTTCTGATTTGACGCAGATGATGTAGTGAATAACTTTACCCATCTACGGCGAAGCTCATGTATGTACCATAGAAAGTCATAACTCTATTAGTAATTCTTCCAATGACAAATTTTTCCCTTTTTTCGGAGCAAATTTACAATTATCATCGTAATGTACCAGTGGTTAAAAGAATTCCTAGAGGTGCGAGGATGCAGCTTAGTAAAGCATTGGCATGCACTACTCAATATTGTTCACTAGATGGAATTAAGACCTGATAGAACATGCAGGACGTCAATGGATGTAGGTAGCTCAGGACAGTGTTTTGTGGTTTTCTTTGGGGCAGGCCTATGTTTAGTAGTGAACTTGTGAAGGGCCGTTAACATGATGATGAAGGCGATGAAGCACCAGATTCAAAATCACATCTACAGTTAAAAACAAACTCAATTCAGTATTTGGGCTGTCAAAAATATTTTTTAAATTGCACTTGAGCAAGCACTCGTAAGGCACTGGGCAGGTAATATTCACTATCAACATTCTTTATTCCTTTGCATCAGTGATGCCTTCAGTGCTGATAGCGAACATGGCTTCTGTCTCGGGCAAACATGGGCTGTCATATATCTTGCAAACTCTATTGTCCCCACGTCCTTTCCTCAAGTAAAGCCGAGTTGTGGAGGCATGTGCCATAATATGGCCTCCGATGGGTTTCTTAGTGTCCGCGTTGAAAACGCCAACAGCATCTACTTGTGCAACAACTTGATTAGTAATTATTACTGCGACGCCAAACTGAAAATTAATAAAATCTATTGGGTTTTTCTTAAGTAAACACACATTGAAATTGATATATGCAAATTAACTTTTTTATAAAAAGTAAATGCCAACTTCAAAGAAGTAAAAAGAATAAAATAATTTCAACATTATGGCTTGCACGAAAAAAAAATTACCTCATCAGCTAGACGAAGCAACATCCTCATGAAGCGGCCAAGATGCAACTGCCTAGAGTTCAACTCCCCTCTACCTGAATAATCAGTTCTGTATAAGGCCGTCGCACTGTCTACTATTAGTAAGGAATATCTGAAAGTAAAATCGTAACTATGTTGTGATGATAAAAAATATGCAAAATTACTACATGAAAAGGTTGAGAATGGTAATAATAATTAAAAATTTTGTACAACAGACTTCAATATAAATTATTAAGAATAACTCAAAAACTATTGGTCAGATGTTGATCAATTTATATGGGACCCCATGTGAAGCACCAGCTTTCAAATAAAAAAAGAATCATCGAAATCGGTTCGCCCAGTAAAAAGTTATGAGGTAACACACATAAAAAAAACATACAGTCGAATTGAGTATCGGCTTTTGAAGTCGGTAGAAAATACAGTTTTGTGTGTGGACTTCCCCAAAATAATAAGACTGGTGCCAATACCGCCCACTTTCTAACAGCTGTGAGACATATCAACTTAGTGAAAATGTATCAGTGCCCTTCCTTATTTATCCACTTACCAACAGATAGATAGATTGTTTCTGAATTCTTCATCATTAGTCTGTAAATAGTCTGCTGGACATGGACCTCATCATATTAAAGTTTTGTTGAAATTACTATGATTGAAGAAGTGTTGTGTATGTGAAGTATGTAAATTCCAGTACCATACATCTAGATAAAATGGCATGATTACTATGATGGATCCTCTAAAACTACTGTAAGATAATCCATTACCATAGATACTATGAGCCTTAACCTAAAATATGTTGCATAAAGTTGTGGAAATTGAAAATTAAAACAATATAAAACCTAATAAAATTATAGTAATAGTTTTAGTTACCGTGATTCTGCCATCATAGCACAAGCCTGCACAAGAAGTTGCGTCTGGTGGTCCGTGTTGTAAGCCCTAGCATAGGCTACATTATCAAGCACGGCGGCACCCTCCATTCCATAGCGTTGCGCCACAGCTAACAGGCGCTCCGGTCTAAATGTTCCTTCCGTATCTATATACATACATTTGCCTTCACCACCTGATTGTTCAATGGGTAACTGAAAAAAATATATGAGGCAAAATTATTGATTAATAGTAGAAATGTCATTGATTGAATGTAGATTACTCATCATCCTATAACTATTTATATCTGTAAATAACATTTTACGGGGCAATTATGAAGGCCACATGGCTGAGCCTCTCGCTACTAAAAATGTATAGAAATGCAATACAAGATCTTAGCAGTTTTGACATAATTTTCTAATTCATTCATTAGTTTCATTTTTAGATAAGTTGTATTAAAACACAAAGAGATTTCATTTTGCCCAAGTTTTATAATCATATTAATCAACTTTATACTAAGTTTTGTAAGTTTTATAATAATATGTGTGCTGTAAGAGGTATGTAGTATATAAAGCCTTGGATATACTTAGGGGCAAAAGGAGTGGCATGTTTGCGCAATATGTCGCTCAACAACTACGTGTAATGTCCCCAGACATATGTCGCGGAACATTTTGCAGGCCACACTAGTCAGTGCTTATAGAAATGTCACCCGAGAAGGTTGTGGTGATTAGTGTTGCATACATAGTACTTATTTCGGGAGTGAAATGTAAGCGAAAGAGAAGGTAGTGGATGCGGAATTTCTTACTATAACGAGAAAGAAGAATTAATATTTTAAGTGATTTAAGAATGTCTGACATGTCATCTGATTTTGAAACTTTATTACAAATGAATGATCTTCCATAGCCAAACAGGGCACAATACTACGGAACGCTGTTGGCTCTCATATCAGACTTGCCATTGCATTAAGATACTTGTCGACTAGAGATTCTTATGCTTCCTTATCGTACACTTTCAAACAACTGATCGGTAGAACAGTGTCAGAAGTTTGTGGTTTGAAGCATCCCACAACAAAATATGACTCTGGTACCAAACTACTGTCATGTTGCAAGACACTTTGCACACACAACCACACCCGGTAACAAATGGCGCGACACTGACGCGGGACACATATGCTCACTCTTGGAGCGGGAAAAAGCTACATATCCCACGCCACGTAAAATGTTGCGGGTCACTGTGCAACATTGCATCGTCACATAAATGGAGTGTTCCGCGTCATGTTGCAGAACAAAATGTCCCCTAGTGTATGCGGGGCTTAATAGTTTTACCAAATGTTCACTTCATGTGCACATGGTGAACTTAGCTTAGCTAAGCTCCAGCAAGTGGCTAAATGTCCATTAAGAAACGCCAAACTCAATACAACAGGGTGATGATGGGGAGCAGCATTATCAGTACAAGGATATAAGCTCTTTGCTCATGAAACCACCTACCTATTGTAGTAAATGTGAGGAAGCAAGGATGAATGATCTTTCATATCATACTCGACATTTGATCTATTCTTAAAAGGCATCTTACAATAGGTCAAAAAAATATTAAGGTTACAAAAAGGGTATTATAAAATTTTAGGAATATTTACCTGACAAGTTACTGCTAAGGTGTGACACAATTGTGTTTTCCCTGTTCGAAATTCACCAAATATTTCAGTGATGGAACCTGTCTCTATACCACCACCCAATAATCTGTCGAGCTCTTTTGATCCTGTTGTTAACTGAATAATTTCTGCCCTAATTAAAGAGAGTTGCTTTAATTAATAGTAATTAATTAATTAGTAGGTGTCTCAGAGGACAAGGGCGTGCTGTACTTTTCAAAATATGTACACATACCAAGGTTGATCCCCAACATTACCAAAGAAAATGTTAATTCCAAACTGAGTGCTGATTTATGAAATGTTAGGAGGTGAAGGAATACATTGTTATTAGTTGATTGATAACTGATAAAATAAAGGAATGAAGCAGTATTTTAAGCTTAATTATGAAGAATATTAAGTTTGGTTTTTGAAAGAATTCTAAACCAAGCTTGATACACACATGCTGATTTTTTTGACAATAAAGAGAACTAAAGGTGACACAACTAATAATTTAATTTCAGAGATCTGCAATTTTTAGATCATTACTAGGTCATTTAGTTGGATTAATGAAAGTACATTTATCAATCAGCCTCTAAAGACTTCCATTTCGATACACTTAATGGAATCAAATGAAGCAAATACTTCTCTTCTAATTTTCAATTCAAGTATATAACATGTTGAAACAAGTTATTCTTACCTCTTTTGGTGGAATTCTGTAGCAGTTGTAAAGCCCATAGGTACCAGTTTAGAAGCTTCTGCCAAAATTTTGTCAGCTTTAGCTTCAGAAATGCCCTTTATTGTAATTAACCATTTCTTAGGGGCATAAGCTACGGACTCTACTGTATGATAACCAGCTTCCTCCAATTTTTTGATATCACCAGATGTTATTCCATTTCCCTAAGCAATTATATAATTGAATTATAAGTATTTGCAGTATCATTACAATTAAATGTTAAATATTAAAAAAAACTTATATTACTTCTAATTTATTAATCAACTGTGGGCCACACTCATCCAAATCTTCATCAACAGATGCAGTTGTAGCAGATGCCGTTGCCATTAGGTCTTTTGTATACTACTTAATCATTTGCCGTATTTCAATTGCCGTAATAAATTAGTACCACACGTATTTTGTCCTTTGTTATGATTTTGTTTTCGAGATTTTATTTATACAACATAAAGAATTGACAAAGCGATTGAAGTTTCCCTCATTCCCTCCATAGATTATTGATATTTGAGATTTCCCTCCATCGAGCCATGAACATCATTTTTTTTGTAATAACTGGCTTTACGGCTTTGGGTTCTAGCCCTTCTGTGCCTGAAGTTACATCTTTCATAGTACATTACTTCACAATAATTATATTGATGCGTCACATTGTGCAGCCCTTGGAAGCAACAACAAAAAAAAATTATCTTTAATGTACTACAGTTTTATAATCTATAAAAATCTGTCTCTATTTTTACTTAAAGTTTTGAAAGTTACATTTTTGAAGTATTCTTAAAACAATATTATACTTACTGATACAAATAATGTAGAAATGGCTCCTTTTAATAAAATTGTTTTAATTCTGCTTTTTCTTTTATACTTCTCAAGTAAATGTTTGCCGCAAATTGTTGAGTTTTTCTTTGGATTCCAATATACCCGTCCAATTAACCTTAACCATTTTTATTATAGAATCCGGAGGAAATCTATTTGACAAACGGCAAAATAAAATTACATTTATAGAACGCAAACCGAGGATTTATTTTCTTGTTGTCTAGTAAAACCAGAGTAATTACTCTGGTTTTATTTTTATGTTGCTCACGTTTGGGGTTCCATAAAACTGATTCATTGTGATAAGAATCAATAACCCTAAATATTTCCTCATAAGTCCATGTCTCCATGTTCGTGAAACAATTTTATTAAGCCGACACTTTAGTCTACTCCGACGCGTAACTATGAACTGAACACTCGGCCAACGTGTGATCAGTGTTTGCGGCTTGCGCTAAATTTCTTTGATTTGTGCACGAAAACCGACACTATACGGCATGTCGGCGAGTGTTGGCCGCAAACGCCAAATAGATACAAAACGGCCCAGAACACGTTGGCTGACGTCGTCATTGAAGCACTTGTAACATCGTTCACTTGTGCCGTTCTAACACTCGGTTAAATTAAACAAAACCAATGATACAAAAAATATATTATATAATGGACGTTTTGTATAACAACTTTTCTTCAAAGCTCATTACCAATATTTTTTTACAAAAGTGAAGTGATAAACAAACTCACAATCAACCAGATGGTATTTGGTCTTGGCTACTACACTCCATGGAAAATTATATCTTAAAACCTCTCAGAAATGAGAGGAGGTCTGTGCCCAGCAGTGGGACGTATATAGGCTGTAACTTTACTTTATTTTAGTACACTCAACGACCTGAAGCCAACTTCATGCAAAGGAAGCTACAGATGTGCTGTTACCTCTGATGACTAAGATAGAATGCCTTGCAGCTTTATACTAGCTCTTTACATTCTTCAGACAGGAATATAGTAGTGCAAGCTCTGTTATACTGTGGCAGAAATAAGGGAGAGGGTAGAACGTAACTAGAAGAATTTCTAGGTAGGAAAGGAGTCCTCCCATTTAAGAAAATTACGCATTCCTAGCTGTCTATCTCGTCCTATCTTCGATTTTGCTTTCTTTTTTGTCTTGTTATTAGGTAATTTACTTGAGTGACTCCAAATTTTATATATACGGACTTCGTAAAACTGATCATGTCTTAGAATAACGCGCTAAGCATAAATGAATCCCAATTCGCCATTATCGGAATACTCATATAATTTTTGTTCCACACAGTGTCTTATTTATCTGTAGTATATCAAGTCTACCCTACTAAAAGAACGCTTTCAACATCTCGGCTCCTCTCATGACCTTTCCCTTTACACTCGTCTTTACTAAATTAAACAAAATATCTTTTTCAAGTTTTGAGCATCTTCGGAAAAAGATGGACTATTAATTAAATAAATAATTTCAATACAACGGGCATGATAGCTAATTTTATCATAATAATTATTTATCTCCGTCGTCATCATAACAGTCCTTTTCTAATCCAATAAAAATTTACGTGGCAGAGCCATGCTGCAGCTATATTAAAAGTATAGTTGTAGCACGAATGGGTCGGCTCGACCGGGGAAGAACTACGCTCTCACAGAATACCAGCATAAAATAGCAGGTTAATGCTGCTTCGTATGGTGAGTGTAGAGAACCGGAGACCATATTTTCTGGAAACGAGGCACTTCATCTCAGTCCTCAGGGGTGAGAACGCATCTGCATTTTGATTCTTAATCGAAGATAAATGTAGATGTCTATGGACCACAGCATCCACTTAACATGAGGTGAACTGTATGCTCGTTTGTCTAAGTATAAGAGTTTATACTATAAAAAACTTCGCTTACCGGTACGAGGTTGCCACACGATAACCTTTTTCTCTCGTCAGTTGTTAGTTTCTTGAAATATATGGCAGGCCCATCACCACTTCCTCTTACTAATCCGTTATCAAATTGCTCTTTTTGAAAATTGATTGGAGAGCAAAAATTATTCCATTAATTTAATTTATTAAATTAACTTATCCTGTTCCCCAAAGGGCTTAGGTTTCAGCAGCGAATCGTTTACGTAGGCTATGGGTAACGAGATCTATAATAAATTAACTGTCTAGAGAAAAATTCGTATAAACTTTCCGTTGATTAATTTGTGATTATTAAAATCAATGTATTTACTATTGTGATGTTTGGTCTAAAAATTAAAATTAAAGTTTTTAAGTGGTTGCTGTGGCCCATAGACATCTACATCTATCTTCGATTACGAATCAAAATACAGATGTGTTGTCACCCGTGAAGACTAAGATGGAATGCCTCGTTTCAAGTAAAATGGTGTCTCCAGTTCTCTACATTCACCATACGAAACACGGCAGCGATTTTACGCTGGTATTCTGTGAGAGCGTGGTCCTTTCCCGATCGAGCCGAACAATTCATGCTACAACTATACCAGTAATATAGCTGCAGCATTGCTCTACCACGTAAAGCTAATTTTAGCTAGTTTTTGGTTTATTATAGAACTTCTAAAGATCATTATTTTACTTGTTAACGTCCTTTAGAATATTTCCTTGGCTTTAAGAACCATTAACCGCTTCATGAAACTTTTACGAGTTGGTCGGAATCGCTGAAGCTATTATTGTGTAAATTGAACAATCCAAACAAAAATTTTATCTATTTCTATTAGTCAAATTTGTATGATATCAATTAAAATTATAATATTGATTTATATTTACGTTTATGTGTCAAGTTACTGCTTATAGCTAACGTGAACATACTTTCCGTATTGGACAGTACTTTCTCTTTTTAGCCACTTTAATAAAAAAGAAGGTTATGAATTCGATTTTATGTTTATTTGCGTGTATATTGTTTTCGTCAATTGTGAAACGATTTTGAGATTTTTTATTAAATCTTTTTAATAAAAACACGGGTGGTCTTAAGGGTGATCCCATATAAATTTGATCCCTACTGATGGCAAAATAGGTATGAACTTTTTCATGGAACTATTTAGGCGACATTGATATTGTAATATTCTTTAGTCCGCCACTCAAAAGGAAAAAAAAATTGTTTTAATAAAAAGTAAGGGCCGACTTTAAACAACTAAATCTGAATAAAAAATTATACATTCTGAAGTCCGGGATTAAATTTTTCTATAAAATGGTTGTGCCTTAGCATCAATTTAAGAATTTAACACCATTTTTTTAGTTGCTTGAATTCAACTTCTACTTTTTATTAGTCTTTTTTTTTTCGGTACTCCATATAATGTCACCGAGGAAAGCTTCGGTATGTACTTAAAATTGTCCCGTTTATAGCAATTTCGAATAACGCGAAAAATTAAACGTTGTTATTCGGAGTGGCCGGAACCTTCTGGAGCTTCGTCTATTACCATATAATATAACATTTAACATTTTATAAGGATCGTGTTGTTTGAGCTTAACAAAACCTAATATAAACTAAAAAAATAATAGTCTAATAAAACGTTAATAATGACATCCATATCCAATTTCGGTCACGGTGGCCAGTCTCAACAAAGAAACTAAATCAACAAAGAGACTAGCTATCTGCGCAGGAATAGGATTATAGTGCTTGAGTGTATGCGCAAGCACAAGCGCGTTCTATACTCTTATATTAGTCTGTGCTATACTCCTTTACTTTCGTAGTCCGATGAGACGGTAACCCGACACGACTGGAGAGAGATCAGACGCAGGACCAACGGTATTATAGTGCGCGCAAGATAACTCTGCGCGCAACTGATGGCGTACTTAATGTTGCGAGCTTAACTAATATTTTTTTCCTTCATTTAATCGTATTGCTAGCATTATATAATTATATCAATGTACTTAAACAATCGAATTGACTACAGAAGCTCAGATAAAAAAACTGTAATGTTCAACTTAAACTTACAAAGACCTAATAAATTTTAAACCCCATATTTATTGTTTAAGAAATTTATAATAATAAATGTTTAAGAGATATATAATAAATACATTTCTTGATTCTAACTTTCGTAACTTTAACACTTCACTACACAAGTTTCTATGGTAAGACTTACGTTAATATAAATTATTGCTTAAGAATCATTTGAAAACGTTTAATTTATGCGAACGAGTTTGAGATAAAAATAAAAAAAACACGCTTTACTTTTATTTTTGATATTCTTCTTAGCAAACCCTTTTATTTGATACATATCATGGGATCGCATAAAAATAACTAGTCCTCCTTCTTTAGAAGTCAGCAATATTGGATTTAGAACGATGTCACTCTTCTAAATCAAACGTATATGCAAATTTTCAGCTCCATCGAAAACCGAGCGGTTGGTCAAACTTAACTTCCAATTTTTTTTACATAATTACAGGTTCATATTATATGCTTGTAAGAAATGACTATTACTAAGATTAATGAACACTGATATTTTGTTTATAAACATTTTTTTAAAAGTTATTTTGAAACAGAACTGAAATAGTATTGTAATATTTATTATAAAGAACGAAATAAAAAGTCCATGGAAACCTTGTAAGTATTTTATTAAATACCTAGTATTATTTGTAAATTTGGTGTAACAATGGTACTGCAGTGGGTCAACGCCTTTCATTCGCACATCTTCATGATAATCCATGCTAGAGTCTCCATCAGTAGACTCGGATGTGCCGCCTGTAACATTAATTACAAATTTATCCATTTCCATATCTATCAGCCTATCTGATTCGAAATATTTATATTCAATTTTTTCTACATCTAGACACATTCAGCCATTCTTCTATCGTCACTGTTCTAAACACCGCCTCAGTAATAGCAGCTGTTTCACTAGGTGCTTGAGGTGCATTTTTCTCTGCAATGCGCCTCTTTACTATTGCCCAAAATTTTTCGATGGTATTTAAATCGCAGTGGTAAGGCGCTAAACGGAGAAACTCATGTCCATGTTAATTTAACATTTATTCTATTTTATACTGTGAGTCTCCTTTGTTTTTTGATTACTTTGTATGATTGCGATTTTGTCCAACAATTGTCAAATTGAATACCATTTCTTATAAGCTACTATTGGAGCTCTGTTTTTGTATTGCCAATTGAAGGCGTCTTGTTAATCTATTTGTAGTGGTATGACGCATTATCCATTAATACAATGCCATTTGTTGGTAGAGTCAGCACAATTTTTCTTTAATCCACCGCATGAAGTTAGCGGAATTAATATCGTCATAATAGTCATTCGATTTGGAATTAGACCTGAACAGTAACAGTCAAACCCAGTTTTACCTCCTTTATGAGCTAGTATCCATCTTGCACCGACGCTAGCAATGAACAAAGCAAGAATACCAGGCTGTTCCTCCGTTGCCAACATTTTCGAAGATGGTATGAAGCATGTATATACGTTTAGTCAACATAAATGACATTTTTCAAGATTCTTGCGCAGCCTCAGAATATATTTTACTCTCCAAGCTGCAATATCATTGCGTTCTATCAATACTTTTCATTTAGACTAGCAACTTTTGTATTTGTAGCCCATAGTCTTTAAAATACTCCTCAACGATGTTCTGCCGTATTTAAAATCAGTATCAGCTTACAATTTCTACCAAAGTTTATTTATGGTAGGAATCTCTTTCTTCACGAGGTAAAACGATTGAATTAAACGCCTTATAGCGCACATATCAAAGTCGTCTAAATCATATTTTTTTTCCTCCGGTTCAGAAACACCTAAAACAAAATAAAAACAATGCATTATAAATACATGATATTAATGACACGAGGAAATTAAAAACGAACAAATCGGGAAAATTGGGGAGTTTTATTGTTATGGCAGCCCTAAAAATTACCTGTCAAATATGCAACGCGGGCTTTGGAAAAAGGTACTGTTACTGTAACGGTACACGTTTGACCTTCAAGATACTCCCTGCAAGCACTTTTAATCACTTTCGGCATAATGATAACGATTATTTACTGCAAAACGAATAAAAACACGCCACCTAATACTCAGTTTTGACACCTGTCAAAAACAGTAGGATGGAGGTACACGATTAGTTCCAATTTTTGCCGCGCGCAGAGTTATCTTGCGCGCACTCTACAATCTTTGGCCAAAACTCTATTGTAGTTGTTGTTACGATTCGCTAATTAAGATAGGGCAAAGGTCTGTGACCTCTAGTGTGTTGTGTATTGTTTACAATTTTTTTCATAATATGCTAATGTGTCACATTGCAAATAAATAATAAAATAATAGTTCCACGTGGCAATAATATATCCGCTCGTGTATCTTGATATTATACTCCACCGTCTTACTATACTGACTGTACCTATACCAAAGAAAATATACACTACGCGAACCTATACACTGTTTTGAGCTGTCTTTAATATTTAGACTGAATGCACAAACTAATAAGAAGGACTGAATGGCTCCATCCAGTATCTATGGTAATTAATCCAAAACAATAACAAGAAATCAGCTGATGATTGAATATCAAGACAGCTGTCAAATGTCAGTTCAATTCGTTTATTGGTTTATACCGCTTAAATATCTTTGAAATTAAATAAACTTTTGTACAACTTTTGCTTATTAAATAATACTATACTAATCCTGAAAACTGCCTTGGCTCTTCTTGTTATCATCAACAATGGAAGACATTTCTTTAATAATATGTGAAGAAGAGTTTATCGTTAAGAAAGATATGCTATGCGAATTTAGTGATTATTTTCGAGCAATGTTTAGTGGAAATTACATAGAAAATGAACAACGACAGATTGTTATTAATGTATGGAAACGAACAATGAAGTTGTTATTTTGTCTATTCTCTTATCCTCCTTTTATAAATCCTCCCATTCTCGTAGTCTTTTTCTGTGTTTCGTAGTAAGCATCTGTTCAATACTTTTCCGCTTGTTTTTTTTTAGGTTTTACAACCCAGCATAGTAAGAATTATTCTACAGTATATGAAAATGGGTTTTATAGATCTGTCTGAATACTCACTTCAAACAGTTGGTGAATTAGCAATGGCTGCAAATTTTCTTCAAATAACAGAACTCATAAAACAAATAGAATATACATTAGACCTACAAACATCGATTTCTAACTGGATGGCTACAATGGATATTGCAGAAAGTTCTTCATATCCATCATTAGAACAATTGACAGCGGCATTTGGTTTATTTTCGTTTAAATCTATGAAGGTTGGATATGTGCCTTCAATCAGAAAATTATTCTGGTATCTTTCACATCCATATTTAGATACTGATAGTGAATTAGATGTTTTTAAATTTGGTCTTGAATGGATGCTACATAATGAAACTGGGGCGGATGCATTAATGATTATTCTTGGATGTTTAGATGTGACTAGATTATTATTACATGATTTATGGGAAATTAAATTATTAATGAAAGATTATATTAACAGTCTAGCAGCAAAAGTTGTTGATTGTCTTTATGATTTACTCAATAATGGTCACACATTGTCTATAAAGATATTATTGGAGGAAAAGAAACAGATATGTGAAAAGTTCACAGAAAGAGTTTATGATGAAACTTTTAGCTTGATAAAAGAAAGTAAATTACGTAAGTTACAGTTTACATATTCAATTCCAATGACAATCAAAGAACCAATGATAGATGAATCACCACACTACATGTTTACATATAAATTAAATGAGGGTTTCCAAAAATGGTTAGAATTAGTTGAGAAAAATTTATGGGGATGGAATGTTGTGTCATGGAATGCAACAAAACTAGTTATTGTTGGTGGTGAGTATGGTAAAGGTACAGGGACGTTTATGAAAGATGTTAAGGTGTATGATACATTAAGAAAAGAGTGGATTCGACATGGTGTTCAGCTTCCTCCTCGGAGGCATGGAAGTGTTGCTGTTGTTGATGATTCATTATATATTATTGGAGGTGTAGGTGGGTTTAGGTCAGTTATATCTTACCTATGTAATTGTTAAGTATTTTGTAAAAAAAATGCAGTAACACATAACATATAAACATTTCTTTTTAAATTGTAGTGTATAATTAACTGTTTGTGATATACCATTATTTGGTTTTAATCTTTTTTCATTGCAAAAATAAATTTAAAACAATTTAAAAGTTTACATTAAATTTAATATTTCATGGGACATGTATGTTTTCACAAGTCTTAAATACTTTTATAAAAAAGTTCTTAATTTATATAATGTTTTTATTTAATTTTCAGGGTAGTTTTAGATACTGCTATAATATACAACCTAAAAGAGAGAACTTTTAGAAAGATTGCCAAACTACCAGATGCAATTCAAAACCCTGCCGTTTGCTCTCACAAGAATCAGCTATATATGGCAGGTCACAAACACATATATAGATATGAAGACTTGGATAACTCTGATCATTGGAAACCAGTTGCCAGAGTTGAAATACGTGTGAGCTGTATGGTGTCACACAAAGGTTATATCTATTGTACACAAAACTATTTCAGTGAACTTTACAGGTTTAAACCCAATGTTGATAATGAATTGCAGTTTATAAGTTGTTTTACTAATCTGCCAGCAGTTATGTGTAATTTAGGTAGGTTAATCATTCTTTTTGTTTTCAAAGTAGAATAGAAATTGTTAATTCATCTTGATATGTGATGAAACTTAGAGAAAGGCCCAGATGATTAGATTTTTTTTCAGTGATTGACTATATATATATAATCATACCTAGTGGTAAGTGGTGATGAAGCCGCCTAGATGGTAAATCGCACTGTCTTAGTGTAACAAAAGCCTTTTTTATAGGATAGGGTGACAAACGAGCAACACAGTCCACCTGATGGTAAGTGGTTGCTGTGGCCCATAGACATCTACATCTATCCTCGTTTACGAATCAAAATGGAGATGCGTTGTCACCCGTGAGGACTATGATGGAACGCCTCTTTTCCAGTAAAAAGGGTCTCCGGTTCTCTACATTCATCATACGAAACACAGCAGCATTAAGCTGCTATTTTACGCTGGTATTCTGTGAGAGTGTGGTCCTTCCCATTCATGCTACAACTATACTACTAATATAGCTGCAGCATGGCTCTACCATGTTAGCCTATTCATTCTTGCCTTGAAGATGCCCAGATTATTTTCGAATGGAAAGATAGACGTCTGCAAGTTATTCAACTTCTCTGCTGTATGCATTACAAAAGACGAAGCAAACTGTTTGGTTCTAATGTGGAATATTGACAAAGGTGTGAAGACCCGCAGACTGTCTGGTTGTCCGATTGTGGAAAGGGGAGGCAGGGAATAAATCATGTAATTCCTGTGCACACTAAATAGCTTTCATTTAAAAGTAATAAAGTCCCGTGACTAGCAACAGGAATAATAAGGTTTGGGGAGTAATGAGGTATTCTGCAAATCCACCTGATGAGCATAGTGATCTACTTTAAAACATAATATGCCCATTGAATACATCATTACCTTGTTTGTTTCATTAATTTAGTTTTTTTTTACTACTACTAGATATAAACTTTTACTAGCAATTACAAAATATTTGTTTTGTTTTTACAACATATAAGCTGAAGTGACAATGAGCTAGCTAACAACTGATGGGGAAGTAAGCTTCTAGAATGGCAGATTTATACCAGTATCTGAAAAGTAGTGTGGCTCAGAATTCTGCTTTTTGTCGTTACTTAGGGGAGGCCTGTGCAGAGTAGTGGACTTGTGAAGGGCTGTAATGATGATGATGACGATTTGTGAATTGATTAGTTATAGATATATGCGGAATCTCATACACAAGTATCTTTTTTTTCTAAAAGGATTTTCCAATCATAGTAATATGCAGACTGTATGTTTTATGTTACTGAAATTAGGTGTTACTTTTATTATTTTGTAACTATTTATTTTTATTAATTATTATATTATATTACAGATGGCCGACTTATGGCTGTTACTGAAAACAATAAGATATTTAGACAAACAGACATTTTGTCAGTAGAAGAATATAATGATGCAGAAGACAGACCAAAAGTTCTATGGTCACAAATGGACACTCCTATGAGGGTAAATGAAACTGCAGGTTGCTGTACTTTAGTTATGACTGCTCCACCTTTAGAAAAATCAATTTCACAATACCACATGCGTTATTTAATGAGGTACCCTGATATAATGTAAAATTGTAAATAATGTTGTATGGTTATTAAAATTTTGTATAAGTATGTCAAATAGTAATGTTAATAAAGTTTTTTTTATTATATCTTTTTTAATTCTACATATTCCTTAGGACTTTTATGATGTGATTTAACTACGAAAACAACAATATTTATACACTGCTTAATATTAGGTATGAAATTGCGTAACAAAATTAAGAAGATTGCATTCTCAGTACGATGTGTATAATTTGTGGATGTTTATTTTCATCTTTGTATAATTTATCAATAAATATGCCGTACAGTAAAAAAAAAAGAATTTGTTTAAGATTAGAAATAGTTATATACTTATTAGTATATACTTCACTTTTAAGAAAACTAATTTATTTGTGTTATGCTTATATATATTGATGCTACATATTTTTAGATTAATACATTATAGATATAATAAGGATGTTAATATAAATTAATAAATACTTGAATGTGAGATTAAAAATGTACTATTAGTTAAAGCTCTTTCTGACACCATTATATTTTTTTTAATTTATTGTAAAGTAAATGCTATGGTACATATATACTTAATGTGTCATTAAATTTTTTAATAATTAATTTATGGTTTTACTGGCTGGCTTGGATGTTATGAATATTCATAATTTATTCTTTTTTATTTAAGATAATTATTAATATGCAAATTGCCCCTTTACATTTTTGTAAACAAAATTGCATGTGTGTTCTGTACCATTTTCTATCCATCTTTCAAATACAATCTCAGTTGATATTGACGATGAAGGATGATTAATCTTTCTTACAACTCTAAAAACCTTTTTTATTCTTTTGTTTCATGAGAAATTGCGAAGATTTATGGTTTATAGCTTTTTTGATTCTAAATGTACTGTATTTATACAGTTGTAAAGCAAAGATACGGACTATATATGTCTCACAGTTGGCCACAGGCATTCTCTCATTTCTTTTTGGGTGTATGGAGCAACCATTCCACCGCTTTACTTCAGTGCTTATTTTGGCAGACTTCATATTGTCATCGAAATGTTTTTGTTCCTTAGATGTGGTTTTCCCGTGATGTTTTCAAATCAATGTAAGTCAGTACTTAAAATTGGAACTATCAATTTTATTGGTAATTGCGGGGATCAAACATGGGTTACACAGTTATAGTTACAATAAAATAATACCTTAATTTTTGTTATTAATTTACATTTATTTCGACATTCATTTACAAACATACAAATTTATTAAAGTGTACATACATTTTGTACAATAATAGGTCCACAATAATATAAGGCGAAATTTTGTTAATACTTATATATACTAATGAATTACATATATTTAACCATGACAGCATTTTATGCGATTTCAATGAGACTAGTAAGTCAATCATAACAAAAACAAATCTTTGAATTTAATTTTATCCATAATATGTTGAAGCATTATAAAAGATAAATCCAAATTCTAAAACTTTAATTCAACACTGGTGAAATATAACTTAATTTTAATGTTATTTACAATGTATAAAACATTAAACAGCAATTGTTGTATATATATATAAGGCCACTATATATCTTACATCTGTATTATATTAAAAGCACCAACGGGAAACAATTCTTGAGTGTATTCAAGTGGTTTTGTTGCGTTTCATAATGGCACTGTTGGATTACACATGCATGTTTTTTAAATTATATTTAGTGTTGCCACTTTATTAATTTATTCCATGTCATATAAAAAAAAATAGCATTGACATTATTTGTAAAATTATGGTATTTTTTTTATAAATACTAGTATTATTTCAATAACGTAATATGATATCATAACTCATAATAGTTAATTATAAAACCACGATTTACTCATATTTATTAAAAAGCTCATTACCGTCGCTTTAACCTTAACATCTAATTTGAATTGACTTATAATTGAATTAATCGAAGCGATAATCATAAGCATCTCGGGTAATCTGTTTTGTGTGACAATATTTATTTATATTTGGCATTTACAAATGTCTACAGAGAAATAGTTATTGGAAGCACTACATTAGGTCTCACGATAAAAATATTTTCATTTTAGTATAAAAATACACATTAAACTTTGGACAAATCTAAATTAAATGTGCTGTTATAAGGTCCTTTTAAAAAAAAAGATTTATATAGTTTTATGTCATAATTTAAATAAATTTAGTTTATAGACAAGTAAATTCTAATTCATAGATTTCTTTTTTCAATTAGTGAAATTGTTAAAGGCACAATATAAATGTCTCTATGTTTAAATGAAATCCTATTTTATGTCCAACCTCCAGTCAATTTGTGGAATAGTTCTTCATCAAGCGTCTGGTTGGCGTCTTTCGACCTCATGGACAGGAATATGTAACCGCCGATGAACTCATGGACAACTTTGCAGTCGGCCGACTGGACTGAGAAGATAATGTTGCCCTCCTCAAACTGCACCATCATGTGTTTTATTTCCCAGTTCACATTCCAGGCCTGAAACGAAATCACATTTTGAAAGTAGGCTTTGTAGAAATTAGTCAGTTATTTGTGGATCTTCCTATGAATTTCGGTTTAAAATAACACTTTTAAATACTACTATATATAATGTGCTGTGGTTTCTTAGCCGTAATTCGAGCTATTTCATAAGAAAATTGCTTGTACGACCTGACAAATTTAAAGAACATTAAGAATAAAAGAAAAACGTACAGATATAGCCACATTACTTATTATATTATTCTTGAAATAAGAAATTAAAATTAAAATCGGTCCAATTTCAAAGGAGAAAATAGGAATACGGGATGACAACTTATCATAGCCAATAAAGTCCCAAGTTGTCTGTATTAGTTGCCTTGCTCGTATCATTCGGACATAGCAATAGATAGTTAAAAACCTATTCTTCAAGTTTCTTGCAGCACGGATACCCTGTAGAATTTGAATTGGGACCTTTATCTCTAGTGTTCAGCGCACTTACTGCTGCATTACACAAGGGTAAAAAGCGAGTACTGACTACGGAGGCACCTAGTCTTCAGAGATGATAACAATTTAAACGAAAGTTGCCTAATAGTTAAGGTTGCATACTGAAAATTTGGAGAGTCGTGGGTTTGAATCCGCTGTTGTTCATGACAGTAGTTATCACACAGTAGTCCAAAAGTTACGGGGTGTATTAGCTATGTTAATAGCGTATTTAGGCCGTTTCATTATAGCCTTTATTGTTTGTAGCTGATTGCAAGCGCCAAAGCGCTCAGGGGGTTTTAGCTTATCTGTCACTGCCAATATAGTATAAAAAATGGGTGAAATAATACCAACCTTCATCGTACTATATCGCCACGTTTTAATATGGTCACCGGTGTTGGGATCGAGACGCATAATACGGTTGTTGGCGATGCTAATTATTTCGTCTTTCCGGTGGCCCATGAAACGGACCACGAACAGCGTTTGGCCGTAGTCGGGCAGATTCTGCCAGGTCTTGATGTATTGGAGCTTCGCTTCTAGCAGTGGTAGGTCTTTGACGTTAGCGTGGCTCTCGAGCACGCGCTGTGTGAACTGTAAGGAAGAATAGAATACTAGACGCCGTATACTCGTATTCTACTGTGACTCGATATATTATTCGGTAATATTTTAGACACTCGTTAGTCGGCAAAATTAAAAGTTAAAATAAAACATTATAAACCTAATCTGAGAAAAAGTCAAAATCAATTTTTTTAAATACATATCAATAATTTTTAACTATATTTTAACGGTGATACCTTACAAACAAAATTATTATCTGTTTTCAAAGTTCTGGAATTACAACTGCACGGAGTTTGATAATTGTATTTAACGATTTGCATTAGCGTTTAAAACAGTTTAAATGTTCTCGCACCATAAGCCTACGTCTCTAATTAGACCAAGTATTTCAACCAATTACTCAGTACAGCAAACAAAAAACCGACTATAACTAGGTTCATGGTTATCCGTACACCAAATACCAGTCAATGTTTTGGATTCGAATTCGCAGATATGGCTTAACAGCAAAGAGTAGTTATCACTAAGCCACACAGGCAATGCTGTTGTGCTCAATGAAAGGTTGCAACAACACGCGGAAGTTCTCCGACTGCAGGTGCTCTAGGTGCGGCACGCTGTGCAGCTGCAGCGCTGCGACAATGCCCTGCTAGAGCGACACGCATCTTGCCCTTGAGTTTCTTGAGGAAGCGTGGCGCGAGGAAGTTCTCCGGTTGCAGGTGCTTCAGATGCGGCACGCCGTTAGAGCACAAAACGCGGCTAGAGCGATACGCACCTTGCCCTTGAGTTTCTTGAGGAAACGTGGCGCGAGGAAGTTCTCCGGCTGCAGGTGCTCCAGGTGCGGCACGCTGTGCTGCTGCAGCGCTGCGCCGGGCTGCGGCCGCTGCAGCGCTAGAAGGCTGCGCACTGCAGCCGCTTCGCTCGCAAACGCAGCGTCGGCTAGGGAACGTCCGCGAGCGCCCAGGCGACACGCCGCCACCCATTTTGCGTATTGCTCCTCCTGTACAGAAAAACATTAATATACAACCACATATTAATATTTACAGACGTATATTGGCACATATATTGACAATTGACAACCGATGTGGTATTTAATAAAGTAAAGTTTTACTTACATCGTCGCATTTGAGCCACATTTCATGCATGGCGTCTTCAGCCGGTATTTCTAGTTTGATACTGTATCTGCCTGAAGCGGGATGCGCATCTGGTGTTACCTTGAAGTTAAATTTTCACAGTTAATATATAATACATTGTTTAGGCCCAAAAATGGTCATTTGAGACGGCATCCAATCGCCTTCGACTTAGTGTATCACCCGATGGTTTGAGGTGAGGTAAACGCCGCCGAGGGGGGGGGGGGGGGCGTGCCACTTGCAGTCGCTCGACGCGCGGCCTGAAAACGTTTGCTTTAGTGCAGCGGCGCCGTCGCAAGGTAACGTATTTGTGGTGACCGTGGCAGCGATTTCGTGCGACCAGTTTTGGTTTTAATGGTCTAGATTTTCAGTATTTGTGCACGTTACTTCGCTACTTAAAT